CCGGTAATTGCTGCAAGACCCCCGAAAGAAAGCTGCCCTTGAGTTCCGAGTTCTGCCCGCTGCCAGACCAGTCTCTCCCTGTATGAGTCTGGGTCCCCAGAGACTCACCCGGAACTGGAGTTCAGAGCAGTCGGGGGCTTGTGACTCCCTCCCGATTCAAAAAGACAGCCGAGTCCTCAGTCACCAGCCTCTGCCGCGTGCTCCTCTGTACCTCTGCACTTTACTTCCGCACCTCCTCTGAGTCTCAGTGTGCTTTTCTCTTTCCTTCTAGTTTTAGAATTTCCACTCATCCAGCCTTCCTGTGGTCCTGGATGATGTTCGTTTTGTCTTTTAGTTGTATTTTTGAATTTGTTGTGGGAGGCAGCAATTTCCGGTGTTTACCTATGCCGCCATCTTGGTTTTTCCATATTGATTGATTTTTGAATGTTAATTTATCTTGCTTTCCTGGAGTCAACCTTCTTGGTAGGAATTCTCTCTCTCTCTCTCTCTCTCTCTCTCTCTCTCTCTCTCTCTCTCACACACACACACACACACACACACACACACACACACACAAACACACACACACACACATTTGGTTTTCTAACATTTTGTTTAGGATTTTTTTAAAATATATTTTTATTGATTTCAGAGAGGAAGGGAGAGGAGAGAACGATAGAAACATCAGTGATGAGAGAGAATCATTGATTGGCTGTCTCCTGCACACCTCCTACTGGGGATCGAGCCCACAACTTAGGCATGTGCCCTTGACCGGAATCAAACCCGGGACCCTTCAGTCCACAGGCTGACGCTGAGCCAAACCAGCTGGGGCTTGTTTAGGATTTTTCCTTTTATATTTATAAGAGTTATTGGCCTATTACTTTCTTATCTCATGATTGTTTTTTCAATTACTGAATAGTAGGCAGAGGGTATAAATTCAAAAGTTCTTTTGTTCTTGTGATATAGATATTAATCCAATATAATATACTATTACTCCATTTTTTAAAGTAAACTATTTTTGAATAATTTTAGATTTACAGAAAATATATAAATATAATAGAAGTCTCTGTACCCCTCCCTAAGTTTTTTCTATTGTTGACATCTTACATTAGCATAGTATCTTTGTCAAAATTAAGAATTGTACATTTGTACATTACTATTCACTAAACTCCAGACTTTATTTGGATTTTACCTATTTTTCCATTAATGACCTTTTTTTGGTTCTTGAACCCAATTCAGTATATCACTTTCAATTTAGTTAGTTGTCATATCTCTTCTTAGTCTCTTCTGGTCTATTATCGTTCATCATTGCTTGTCTTGAGGAATACTGGTCAGATATTTTGTAGAATGACCCTCAATCTGGGTTTGACTGGTGCTTTTCTCATGATTAGACTGGAGCAAAGAATACCACAAAAGGGAAGTACCCTTCTCATCACATCATAGTAGAGTATGTGACATCCACATTACATCACTGGTGATGTATACCTTTATTACTTGGGTAAATAACATGGTGTTTGCCAGGTTTCTCCATTGTAAGTTACTATTTCTCCCTTTTTATATTTTGTTTGGAATTCAGTCACTAAATTCAATCTATACTCAAGGAAGGAGAGATTAAACTTTACCCCTTGGGCTAGGGTGAGGGGGTGGTGATATCTACATATATTATTTGGAACTCTTCAGTAAATAAGATTTGTATTTGTCTTTTCTCTCCTATTATTTACTAGAGGCCCAGTGCATGAAATTCATGCACTCACAGCTGGGTTGGGCGGGGGGGTTGTCCCTCAGCTTGGCCTGTGCCCTTTCCCAGTCCGGGAGCCCTCAGGAGATGTCTGACCAATGGCTTAGGCCCACTCCCCATGGGTTGGACAGCAGTTGGACATCCTTAGTGCTGCTGCGAAGGTGGGAGAGGCTCCTGCCACCGCTGCTGCGCTGGCCAACCTTGAGCCCGGCTTCTGGCTAAGCAGTGCTCCCCCTGTGGGAGCGCACTTACCACCAGGGGGCAGCTCCTGCATTGAGCATCTGCCCTCTGGTGGTCAGTGCTTGTCATAGCGACCAGTCGTTCTGCCATTGGGTCAATTTGCATATTAGCCTTTTATTATATAGGGTAAGATTCAGTCATTTACTCCATTCTGTTTGAATATGAATGCTCTATAATCTTAAAACATTATTATAACACTAGTTATTATAACATTGAAAACTTCTGGTTCCCCCACTGACATATAAACTCCTTGAGGGAAGACTTTGTTTCTTATTTATCTTTGTATCTATACATTTAGTACAGTCCCCTAACTTATAGTGAACCTCTGATAATTTTTTTTTAAATATAGTTTATTAATTTTTTACAAAGAGGAAGGGAGAGAGATAGAGAGTTAGAAACATCGATGAGAGAGAAACATCGATCAGCTGCCTCCTGCACACCTCCCACTGGGGATGTGCCCGCAACCAAGGTACATGTCCTTGACCGGAATCAAACCTGGGACCTTTCAGTCCGCAGGCCAACGCTCTATCCACTGAGCCAAACCGGTTTCGGCACCTCTGGTAATTTTTTAAAAAATGAATGTATTTTCACTTGAACTGAAAAGTACTCTTTCCTCAGCTAAATTACATAATAGCATTCTAAATTGAAATTAAAAGTAGATTTTAAAAGTAAACTCTTGTGTGTTTGCATTGTAAGTATCCAAGAAAGTGAAGGCTACTACAGAAATAACCATTTCTTGTGTCTGCGCAAAACATTCCCTGAAACTACTTAAATATATCTTGAAGCTACTTTTGGAAAGATATTATGGCATTTTAGAAGCCAAGGATATGACCTGCTGTGTCCTTTCTCTTATTTGTTCAGATCACTGGGGAAGGTTAAGATTCCACTTTCTGCCTCCTCTAGAAAATTATTATCTGATGCAGTCACTCAGATCACAACAGAAAGTCCTGGAAAAGCTATGTTTTCATCTCAAATTTTTATTAATGCTGACGATGGTGAACGTGAAATTCCAGAGCCTAGTTCCCAGAAGCTGGGCAAAGCTCCTAACAAGTTTGCTTCATCATCTTCAGTCCAACAGATTGTTGTTCCTCGTGACACTAACGGAGGTAAGAGAATGTGATTGCATTTTAGGTCAGATTACCTACTTTTATGTGTAATTATCTTAGAAATTTGTGATTGTGTCTTTCTAGTCAGAAAACCTAATTTTACTTGTAAACATTAGAGCCACATGACTATATCCATCTTTTATAAAAAGGATGTGATTATTATGTTTTTATCTTAATTTCCAGTAGAGTTAACATATATGGAACTCATGTTGCTTATGGTTGACATGCTGCTTATTACTTGTAATAAGAAAGCAAATATTTCAGAAAAACTTGAAAACTATGGAGGTTTGACTTTAGGTGGGCAGGTGAATTATTGGCATTTTGTCTTATAGTAAATGTTACGCACTATAATAAATAGATACAAATATATATAACAATACAAATACAGTATCATAAAACAATGACCATGGACCCAGGTTGGCTGTGGCTCTGCTACCTTTGAAATATGGAATTCAAGATTACCTTGAATTCACTATCACAGTCAACTGGAAGGGACAGAAGAGCAAGTGTCTGAAAATTTTTATGGGCTAGGCCTGAAAGTGTCCCAAATTATTTTTTATAGGCTAAGAATAGTTTAGCTGTGTTTTCCACAGTGAAGAGGTGGATTTTGGTAAGCAACTAGTCATCTCATTTAGAGTGCTATGCTATTATTGAGACAGTAACTTTAATAGTGCTTATCTATATATATAAAAAGCCAGCAACCATAACACCAGAACAACCCAAACAACCGGTTGCTATGACGCCCACTGAGGCCAGCAAACCCACCCAATCGGAGGTGGGGCTGGCTGGCCAACCACCTGCGGCCCCGCCCCTGATTGGACTGCCCCACCCAGAATGGCCCCCCCTAGCCCCTCTCCCCCACTGGCCCCGCCCCTGATCACTCCCCCTACCCCAATAGGGGGCAGGGCCGGCCGGTCAACCTCCTGCAGCCCCCACTCCTGACCGGCCCACCCCAAATTGGGCCCCCCCACTCTAATTAGGGCAGGGCTGACCAGCCAACCACCTGCGGCCCCTTGCCCCGGCCAGCCCCACTCCTGATGGCCTCCCCATCCCAATTGGGGGCGGGGCCCGCCAGTCAATCGCCCTCAGCTCCTTCCCTAAGCTGACCCGGCCCTAATCGGGCCCCGATCAGGACGGGTCAGCCAGCCAACCTCCTACCATCTCCTCCTCACAACAGGCCCAGCCCCGATCTGCTCCGATTGGGACCGGGCTGGCCAGAACCCACCTGTGCACGAATTTGTGCACTGGGCCTCTGGTACTATATAATATTCAAAATTAGAGTAAGTTATTTTTATGACAGGAAAATTAACAATTAAGTTTCCATTCTTCTCCCGTATGAGAATGGAAACTTTAGATTACTGGTTTTAAAGTATTTAATAGTTTGCACAAATCTATTTAAAATTTTTCCGTATACAAAAAGTTTACCTATCTGTAGATATAGAGAGGCTATGCCTAAATGTATAAAAGAAGATTTCTTGGTTCAGCACTTAAATTGCATTGAATTTAAGTAAGTACATTTATATGTTAAGATAGTTATACATTTTTACTGTGTGAAATAAAACTCCGAAATTGTAGAGTTTAATAAATATCACAAAGAACATCTTTTTTTTTTTTTTAAATATATTTTATTGATTTTTTACAAAGAGGAAGGGAGAGAGATAGAGAGTTAGAAACATCGATGAGAGAGAAACATCGATCAGCTGCCTCCTGCACATCTCCCACTGGGGATGTGCCCGCAACCAAGGTACATGCCCTTGACCGGAATCGAACCTGGGACCTTTCAGTCTGCAGGCCAACGCTCTATCCGCTGAGCCAAACCGGTTTCGGCACAAAGAACATCTTTATGTGTCAGTTACCTATTGCCATAGTGATACTATATAACAAGAGCCTTAAAAGTCTCAGTGCTTTATAACAAACATTTGCTTATCTCACTCACTGGTTTTTGTGTCAGTTGGGATGTGGCTGCAGGCAGCAGAAATAGTTTCGTTCTATTCACTTGCCTTGTTCTGAAACTCAGGCTAATGGGACAATAGCTACCCGCAGTCTGTTGTTCTCAGGTGGTAGTAGAAGCACAAGAGGGGAAATCCAACTGTGAAACTGCTTTAAACCTCTACTCACATCAAGTGGATCAGTCTATATAGAGAGGTCACAATTTCTGGTTTTACCTTTACATACAGGTACCTGGGAGAAAGGACTACTTTAAAGTATTAATATTATTTGATTTAAATAGTTTTGAAATTGTGAATTTAAAAGTAAAATTTTTATTATTTCTTTTATATGAAAATATTTTAAAGTACATAGAATTTATACTTTATGCTCAACACATGACTATCTGCCCACTAATCTGAATTAATAAATTCAGAATAAGTTACTGTATGTTTATATTTGGTTCTATTTTTAAAATTTTTTGAAGAAATTTTTAGTTGAACTTTCTTAAACCCCTTTCAGTCTTTTCTTTCCCAAAAGCAAACATTATTTGCTGTGTACTTACTTCTTCCCCCATTGGCAGGCAGTACAAAGTAACCTTCAGACTGTTGCATCCAGCCCTAGCCGGTTTGGCTTGGTGGATAAAGCATCGGCCTTCAGACTGAAGGGTCCCAGGTTCGATTCTGGTCAAGGGCACATGCCAGGGTTGCGGGCTCGATCCTCAGTGTGGGGTGTGCAGGAGGCAGCTGGTCAATGATTCTCTCTCATCATTGATGTTTCTATCTCTCTCCCCCTCTTCCTTCCTCTCTGAAATCAATAAAAATGTTTTTTTTAAAGACTGTTGCATCCAAACATAAATTTGATGAAAAATTTAAAAAGCCACTTATCTTTCTAAGAATTCTCCACCTCCAGATCATAATCATTCTTGATCTGGGTCCACTGTAATTCTGCCCAATTATTGTTGTTCATTTTCTGCAACCTTGTTAATGGTAAATTTAACCATCACTATCAAACTTTATATACAAGAAGAAGAAGATTAATAAGTTAATATTCTAGCAATAAACGATTACAGCAATGACCATATAGAAGTGGAGGCTACAGCTTATTTTTCTGTTGTTTAAATTCTTCCCTCTATAAAATTGTCTCGGTTTCTGGGGGAGTGTGTGTGTGTGTGGTGGTGGTGGTGGTGGTTTTGTTCTAGTTTTATTTTTGTTTGGGGGGCTTTGTTTTGTTTTTTGCTTTTGTCTGATGGAGTGGTATAAGTATTTCTAAACAATCTGAGACTTTATTAGGCATGCATCCTGCCCTAATCTCCCTCATTATTTTCTAATTATTTCCTTCATTTCACTTATAATTTATTAAAATATTAGATAATGTATTTAGTATGCTGCTTACTTACTATATATCTTCCTCCTCTTAAGGCAGAGGTACTTTTCTTTGTAGTTCACTGATATTTCCCAAGAATCTTGAACACTTCCTGGCACTTGAGGCACTCAGTATTTGTTCATTGAATTAATATTTTCTTATTAATTGTTCTGATCTTTATCTCCTTAGCTCAGCCTTCACTGTTGCCATATAAGCCTTCTGGTAGTACGAAGATGTACTATGTTCCACAATTAAGTCAAAGTCCTTCATCTATGGATTCCAAATCGAAGAGGACCCATGTTCCACAATTAGGTCAAATTCCTTCACCTATGGATTCCAAATCAGACACCACCGTTGAGAGCTCACACTCAGGTATTATTCAGAATTATTTAAAACTAGGGGCCCTGTGCATGAAATTCGTGCACTGGGGGGTAGGGGGAGTGTCCCTCAGCCCAGTCTGCCACCTCTCACATACTGGGAGCCCTCAGGAGTTGACCCCCATCACCCTCCAATTGCAGGATCGGCCCCTTGCCCAGGCCTGATGCCTCTGCCAGAGGTCTAGGCAGGGGCAGAGCAGGAGATCGCGGGGAGCTGGGGGTCCCCTGCCCAGGCCTAATGCCTTGGCCAGAGGCGTTAGTAAATGATTTTACTATTTCCATTCTTTCAAGGAGAATCAATCACTGTGCAAACTGTTACCTGGCTCCTTTATGTAATTATCCCTGGAATTTAGGTCATGGCACTATTTTTTTTTTAAAATAAATATCCTTTTAATAGTTCTGTACACAGATACAACCACGTGAGCTTTAATTTGCAGTTCTCTTCTTTCTTTTTTTCACTGGTGTTGTACTTGGTGCTTTTTCTTGTTTTGCACTGATGGTCTGTGTTCTTATTTTCTTCGGATTCTTGTCTGGTTCTAAAATGATTATTTCTTCTTCTTCACTGTCTGACAGCACAGTAGGGGCCCCAGCTCTTAGCTCCCCCCTGGGTTTCCGATCACCGTCTGTGGCAGGGGGCTTCTTCCGTCCTTTCCCTTTTGCCTCCCAGCATTGTGCCTACATATGCAAATTAGCCACCATCTTTGTTGGCAGTTAACTGCCATCTTGGCTGGCAGTTAATTTGCATATCGCCCTGATTAGCCAATGGGAAGGGTAGCGGTTGTATGCTAATTACCATGTTTCTCTTTTATTAGATAGGATTTTATTTTTTGCTCCCTAACTGGTTTGGCTCAGTGGATAGAGCACAGCCTGCAGACTGAAGGGTCCCGGGTTCAATTCTAGTCAAGGGCACATAAGTTGGCACATAAGCAGGTTCCCTGGCCCTGATTGGGATGCATACAGGAAACAACCAATTGATGTGTCTCTCTCACATCAATGTTTCACTCTCCCTTCCACTCTCTCTAAAAATCAATGGAAAAATATCCTCAGGTGAGGATTAAGAAAATAAATAAAATTTTATATTTTGAAATTTTATTTGTGGACTGGCTAGTTAATTCTGGAATGACATGAAAGCTCAGTGGTATTTAATCTTTCAGTGAAATATGGGTATTTCATGCCTCCATCTTTGGTTTAGATAGGTGAGTTATTTGGTCAGATATATTATGTATACTTAAACATTTAATAAATATTTGATGAAGAAAATTGTATGAACAATTGTTTGTTTGAGTTAGTATACTCTGTTTAGGTCAGAGTTTTCAAAGTTTTCTCTATTCACAGAGCCCTTAAGGTGATTTTTTTCCTAATCATTATGTGAAACACATATAAAATAAGTATTTTTTCAAATAGGGAGTAAGTTATTAGGGCACATATACTTGTTGTTTTGACCTAACTTAATAAACAAAAATATTAAGTATAAACAAAAATGTTAGGCATTTCTTTTCGGTTTTGATTTTTGAAAGAAAATACTTTGTTCATAAATAACCACAATTACTTATTAATGAGATACGTGCAACTGCTAAGGCACTACACACCATCTCAAACCTTGTGATGAAATTGGACACAACACCCTGTTTCCTGCTTTTATTACAGAAACTGTAATCCAGGTTTGTAAAGACACAACAGCATTGAAATGAATGTAGCACTATCTAGTATTGAAACTTTACCTTGACCTAGTAGTTTGTGTAGTGTATACCAGGTAGCAAGTATCATTGTTGTTTCCCTAGAATTTTTAAATATCCTGCATCACTCCTTTGAGATCACCCCAGGGCAACTGCAGATTTAGAAAATTTTCCTATTGTGACTTTAAAGTAATGATACTTAGTTGCTGTGCTGTGGGATTTTGATTGATGGAATGACATTTTGAACGGTACACAGCAGATGACTTGGTTCAGTTTAAATATAAATTGTTTTGGGGTTTTTTTTCATGGTTTTTCAGTAGACATCTTTAAATGTGCAGAAATTACACAGAAAGGATAAATTGTTCTGGTCTTATTTTTAAAAAAAAATATTGATTCTGAGAGAGGAAGGGAGAGGGAGAGAGATAGAAACATCAATTGGCTGTCTCCTACACGCCCCCTACTGGGGATTCAGTGGGCAGCCCCAGCATGTTCCCTGGCTGGGAATCAACTGGTGACCTCCTGGGCTTAAGCACACTTCTTTTTGGTTAATTTTGAGAGGACAAAAATAGTATCCAATGGTAATTGAGTTAAAAAACCCCTGGTGCCACTGAAAAAAGAACCACATAAATACTCATCAAATACTAGACTTGATTACTAAGCCTTTCATCAGAAACTGGAAGAAATGTCCATTATTTGCAAGTCTTTGGTTTTAAAAACACATTTAATGGCTACCAGAAATAAAACAAGCTGACTTAATTGATTGTAGGTAGGAAAATCTTTGATTTCTCTATCACTTTAAGCCCCCTACTTCAGAAGACAGGATGTCTGTATCAGCAGAAATCTGATCAGTTTTCCCAATACTTTTTGAGGCCTCTAGTGTCTTGCTATTCATTCACATCCATAACTATTACATCTAGTTGGAGACATTAACTTTGAGAAAAATTGGACAGTGGTGGGAGGAGAATGACTCAGGTGGGATGGTGCATTATATCCTCAGAAATGTTGTTCTCCATCTATTCTGAGAGTGAGGGAGTTGAGAATAGAAAACAATCCTTTCTTAGACCAGTAGAGTTACTCTAGATGAAAGCCTAGGAATTGTGCTAATAGCCATTGTTTATTAATGCGTGTGCATCTATAAATACGAGAAAGATCCAATTAGAGTTTGGGGCCAAGGACAAATCATGCATTATTGTTAGCAAATATTTGGGCCAAATAGATTTCTCCTTAATCGAACTCATAAAATTGAACTTATAAAAATCTTTAAAAAAAAATACAGATAAGGCAAAGGTAACATCCCAAAGCAAGAGGTAAATGTTAGAAATTTACTTATTAGGACTAGTAACATTCATAAACAGTAAAAGACTTTTAAAAAAATTATTATTAGAGACAGACAAGGTCACTTTATAGTGATAATAGAGTCAATCCATAAACAAGAAGCTAAAACAGTTATAAGTGTATATGCACCTAGCAACAGAGTCCTAAATACAAAAAGAAAAATAAACCCACAAGAAATATTTCAAATCAGTTGCAAAAAGTCATGTATTTTTTAATTTCATTTTATGAAATATGCAGAATGAGGAAGTTTGTATAGACAGAAAGTAGATTACTGGTTGCCAGGAGTTGTGGGAGAGGGGGAAATGGGAATTATTTGCTGATGTGTACAGGGTTTCTTTTTGGGATGACAAAAATGTTCTGTAATTAGATAGCAGTGTTGGTTGTGATTATCCTAACAATTTCTGAATTGTATACTTATTTAAATGTTATGTGAATTCTCAATTTTAAAAAAAAGGGAGGAGCAGAAATGAACAAATGAAAAGACTACCTGAAAATATAAAGATTTGGTAGTAGATTTAGAATACATTTTGCAAGCAATGAAGAGTAAAATTAATGTGAAGGAAATTGAATTGGTGATGAGGACAAACTTGAGAAATTCTCTAAAAATACAGAGAGAATAAGTGAAGATGATGAAAAAGAAGACTAGAGTCATAAGAATCACAGCTAAATAAACCAAACCAAGAATTATATCTGTAGCTGAAGAAGAAAGCAGAACAATGTGAACAAAAGTAATGTCAAAGACTTAATAGAGGAAAACTTCCCTCTCCTGAAAAAGAGAACACAGTATGCAGATTGAAAGTTATACAGATCCAGGCAAAAATGAGTAGAAAGAGACTGACATACATACTAGGAAAAGATTTTGAGTTAGAAGGAAAAAAAAATGTATATAAACATACACAGTTATGTTTTTAATAAAAGGTTGTATAGTTAAGGGAACTGAATTTAGTCATATCAGATTTACAATACTAAAATGTAACAGATAAATGGAGCAAAATATGTATTTATATAATTACATAATTCAGGGATATATGAACCCAAGTGCATATTCATTAAGCAGAATGGCAATGAGAAGACATTTTCACGAATATGCAGGAAGTAAAAAATATATTCTACCTCCATCCCATCTTGAAAAATTCACTTGGAGATTTATCCAGCTGAAGAAATGGATCAAAATGAAGAGTTCAAGAATGAATGATGATAGTGCTGAGTGTGCAGTTGTGTGCTGCAGGCAATATGTGTGCTCTGTTTATCTAGAAGTAGTTGTGAGGAGAGTGACCCCCATGTATAGTAGTTTGTATTATACCGTAATATACAATAACATATTTTTTGTAATTAAGGAAGGAATTGTTCTTCTGATTTCTTCAAAAAATGCTATAAGGACTAGCTTTGTCCTGAATGCTAGAATCTGAAGCTCAGAAGAAAGGTCCCAGTTAGATATAAATATATATTTGTTGGCCATCAGCATATAAATAGTGTTCCATACACTGGTAATCTGTGATTTCACCCAGGATTTGAAGAAAGCTCAGTTCTGACCCTTTGAAGAACTCTGACAATGAGAGATTTGGTAGAAGAATGAGAGTAAGGGCTTTCCCAGAGAGTAGGGAGCAAACCAGGGAAAGTGATGCCACAGAAACTGAGAAGATCCAAATATAATCAGTACTGATCCTTGCAATCTGTCTCGAAAAATGGCTTCATGGCTTATTAATATTTGTATTGTTCTGATGATACTAATACTTACCCAGCATTTATTGCATTTACATTTTAAGTGCTCAGAAAATGCATGAAGTACAGAATTCCAGATTAGAAAGAAAACACATTTTTGTAGAAGATAATTCTAAAGTTACTACAAACTCTCCTGTATGTCCAGAGATATTCTTTTACCACTTATATTTGGCATAGATAAGCTTCTCTTTATCAAGAGATATAGGAACATTAAACATTTTTAATAAAATTAGTTTTAAGTTTTGTATTTCTTATTACATAAGAGGTTCCTTTCAATGTTTTGTCCCTTATATTGTCAGGTTAATCTTCCTAAAATGTAGCCAATTATATTTCCCTTTATTTAAAAAATCTTGATGTTACATTTTATGTACAAAAAAATTTGGGATTTTTAGCTTGGGATTCCATGCCCTGCTCAATTTCGTTTCAAACAATTATTTTTTAATATTTCCCATCACTCTCTTTAATGTATTTTATAACCCAGCCTGAGCACAAATGTGTCTGCTTCTTATAATACTCTTTGCTTTCCTGCCTCCTTGTCTACTAATGCTGTAACCTCTGCCTAAAATGTCTTTATTCCTTCCTCTGTGTTTTTCAAACAGCCTACTTATTTTCCAAGGTAAAATCTAATTTCACCTTCCTCTGAAAACCTTCCTGAGCTGGAAATTGTCTCCTTTCTGAACTATTCGTCTACTTTATATGTCTTTTCTTCTGTCATTTGCTTCTCCACCTTGTATTGTTACAATTTAGTTTACATGTCTGACACCTTCTGTTTGACATCTCCTTCTGATTACTGTACTACACTCCCATTGTAGTGTGTGTGTTTTTTTAAGTGTTTTAAGAGGTAAATTTTTGTCTTTCTTCAACTTAATGGCTATGTTTGTGTTGATTGTACTACTGTCCCATTTTTTTTAGGATCCAATGATGCCATTGCTCCAGATTTCCCAGCTCAGGTGCTAGGCACAAGAGATGATGACCTGAAATTCTCTGTTCATATTAAACATAAAGAGGGGATCTATAGTAAGAGGGCAGTAACTAAACCATCCTCATCAAAGGAAAAAAAAAACATTCAGAAAGATAATGCAGGTAACTGGATTGGCTTTGTATATTTTATGGCCTCTCTTTTACCCCTGTTTATCCTAAATGAGAATATTGTTCAGTCTTTATCTTGTTCTGCTTTGTTATGTAAACTTTTTTCTTAGCTATCTTATTGGGTATGTAGAAAAAGGTAAAATATTTATAAAATATTTTAAAGTGCTTCACAGATTTTTGAAACCTGTAAACTGTTTTTTAAAATATTTTTTTATTGATTTCAGAGAGGAAGGGAGAGGGGGAGAGGGAAACATCAATGATGAGAATCATTGATTGGTTGCCTCCTGCATGCCCCCTACTGGTTCATAGGTCGACACTCAACAACTGAGCCACACCGGCTAGGCTGTAAACTTTATTTTTACTATGGAAAAAAAATACGTTGTAACTTTGAAATGAAATAATATTTAATCAAGTATGTTTTAGAGACTAGAATCCATAGAAAATTCTGATTAAATTGTCTGATGAGTTCATCTGTCAAGTAATTCAAACTAGTGGTAATTTGGTAGATAACTCAGTGATCCTACTGACAAACAGCTGAGGATGGGGAAGATATGGGAAATTTGGCAGAAATCAAAGTTATAGAATTAAGGGAATTTTTTCAAAAATCTGCACAAAGTACTTGCCAACCATCATCCACTCAGGCTACATTTAATAAAAATGATGTGTTAGAAATAAAGTTTGGCTCCAAACATCCCACCTATTCTAGGGGTCTGTTAATAATATTGTTGGTCTGCTTTTAAACTTTGCATCCTAAGGAAAAGTCCTTCTCCTGGTTTAATCCTATGCAGTCATTTCACCATGGGAAAAGTTCAACCTCAGAACCTTTTACCTTAAGGGGTTACAAAGGAAAGGGGACATGTCTGACTGAAGAAATAGTGACTTACGTATAAGAGCTAAGTGAGCTCATAAACTATACCATAAATAAAAGTCTCAGTGGAAGTGTTGGAATATAAGAGTGAGGAAATCTCTTAGAAAAAAGAACATAAAACGAAGGGAAAAGATCAGAAAATTAAAGATTGGCTTAAAAGATTCAACATCAAAAAAACAGGTGTTCCGAAGAGACAATAAAGAATCAGAGCCATATATATTAATGTGAATAAATCCCCAAGTCATAATATTGAGTGAAAAAGGCATGTTGCTTAAAGGACATAGAGTATTATACTATTTATATAAAGTTTAAAGACATGCAAAACAATACTTACATTGTTGATTAATTCATACAATATAGTAAAAAAAAAAATCCTTAAGATTGATAAACTCTAAATTCAGTATAAATGTTGCTATTAAAAAGAAAGAATGGCATCATTGAGGCTTTATACACAGAATTGTTATAATCATTACTAGTAGCCCGATGCATGAAGATTCGTGCAAGAATGGGCCTTCCATCCCCTGGCTGCCTTTCTGCCTTCCCTCCCCTGGCTGCCTTTCCACCTTCCCACGCTGCCCAGAGGCCCGGAGCCGCCTTTCTGCCTTCCCACGCTGCCCAAAGCGGTTGGGGCTGTACGGAATGCCTGCGTCCCACCCTGCCCCTGGCTGCTCTCGGCCTGCTATGCAAATTAATCCACCATCTTTGTTGGGTTAATTTGCACACTCACTCTTGCTTGGATGTTGGGTGTCGCAAAGGTATGGTCAATTTGCATCTTTCTCTTTTATTAGTGTAGATTTTATAATGCTTTTATTTTTTAAGCTCTGTGGTAGACATATTGGTGTTCATTATGTTATGCTTTAGTAATCTATTGCCTTTCTGATTTCTTTGTTGAAAAATACTTATACTTAGAAATAGCAAATGAATTTCTTGTCAACCCATTGTAAAAACATGTAACCATTATTAACTGTTGACTATTATCTTAGTTGTATTGGTGATTTTTTAAATGTATTTACTAACATACCAGTTTGCACTTACATTTTCTTATATGATAAAAAAAAAATAGAGCTGATTTTAAAAGACCAAAAAGGTAGGTAAATTTCTATCAAGTATTACCAAGAAAAAACAGAAGTAGAAATATTAGACAAGTTTAAAAGGATGTAACATAAGACTTTAAAAATTATAAAAAAGATACTCTATATAAAATGCACATGATATAAGTGTGTTTCTAGGATTATATGCAATATCAAAATTGGCTCTATAAGTAACATAAACTTTGAGTAAGCCAAAGAACTTGAAAGGATTTCTCAACTATACTTTTCTACTTTGAGAAAGATACCTGATCTAGACTTTTTTCTTTACTGTTGTATCAGACCACAAGGAACAGATTTTATTTAAAGTGACACTTTATTTAGCCCATTGTTGTACAAAGAAAAATACAGAAAGCTTTCCTGAAAATTCATGTCATAAACCCACCATTACTGTCACAGCTTTTACATGATAGGGCCTAAGAGGTGCTTTTTTCCTGAGAGATACATAAAGAGGTTTGGGGTTTTGTGTTTTTTGGTGGGGAGGAGGACAGGTTGGGTTACATGACATTTGTGTTTATTATCTTTTCTTTCTCTGGTGTTAAGTGATGTCATTATTTCAGATGTTCAAGTTCTTTTTTTTTTTTTTTAAATATTTTATTGATTTTTCCACAGAGAAGAAGGGAGAGGGATAGAGAGCTAGAAACATCAATGAGAGAGGTCGATCAGCTGCCTCCTGCACGGCCCCCACTGGGGATGTGCCCGCAACCAAGGCACATGCCCTTGACCGGAATCGAACCTGGGATCCTTCAGTCCGCAGGCCGATGCTCTATCCACTGAGCCAAACCGGTTCGGCAGATGTTCAAGTTCTTATCACTGGAAATGAGAACCACTCAGATAAAAAACAGAAAAAAAAGATCTACACTAAAAAGTCAGTGACTAAGCCTGCCCAACCTGAAAAAATAGAGTTCTTGCAGAAAGACACTGGAGGTAGATGAACTGGTTTATCTGCATGTTATTTCCTTCTGGCCTTCTAAAATGAGAAAAGACAGAACAGTATGCTCTGTTCTCTACTTTGCTCTCTTCAGCCTTCCTTTGTCTTGCTCACATGAGAAATAAGATATTAGCTGTAATTTTTGTTATACACTGACAGGTATAAAACCAAATGTTTAATAAAACATTTTTAAAGCTCTTTGAGACATTGCTGGAGAACTTTGTGAATGTAGTACACAAATTAATTTCATTGGCATAAATTCAAATAATGGACTTTTAAAAAAATTCAGTGCCATGAAATGCTGACTTTCTAATACCATTCTTATACATAAGTCTTGTGTTTTAGGAATTTAGCTTATTTACTTTCTTAACTACCTATCTAGTTAATTTACTTCAGTGGGACTATGCTGATTAAAAATGCCTATAATAGTGTGTTTAAGTTAGGATTAGTTTTGGCTCTGAGAGATGAAAAAACAAAATATAATAACATTGGTTTAAAGAAGGCAGGAAATTGTTTCTTTCTTGTAAAAATCCAGAGATAGACATCCAGGCATGACATGGTACTTCAGAGTGTCAGGGAACAAAACTCTTTCTCTCTGTTGCTCTCACGTTTTTAGCTTTCATTCTCGTGCAGTAACCATCTGGCTCATATTCCAGCCAGCAGAAAGAAAGAAAGGAAAAGAAAAAAGCATATTCCTTCTTTAAAATACTTCTCAATAGTTATATGTATTATTTCCCTTCAATCCTATTGGACAGACTTAGTCACATGGTCACACCAAGCTATGTTGCCACTGAGGCTGGGAAATAATCTTTATTCTGGTAACTTTATGCCCAGCTAAGTTGGGGTTCTATTTTAGAGGAAAATGGATTTCAGAGGACAGCTGACAGTCTGCCACAATGTAAACAGAAACATATTTTGGAGTATAATTAGCCACTTGTCTTTAATTGTGTATTAGGTGTTTTTTGTTTTTGTTTTTGTTTTTCAAATTTGTATTGTATTCTGGTCAACATTTCAAAAATTTATCTCCTTTTTGAATGTTTTGATCATGTTAATCTCCTAATCAAAAAGTTTTCATTGCCCTTAAGAATAAAATCTTGCCAGGACCGGTTTGGCTCAGTGGATGGAGTGTCGGCCTGCGGACTGAAGGGTCCCCAGGTTCGATTCCGGTCAAGGGCATGTGCCTGGGTTGCGGGCACATCCCCAGTGGGGGGTGTGCAGGAGGCAGCTGATCGATGTTTCTCTCTCATCGATGTTTCTGGCTCTCTGTCTCTCTCCCTCTCTGTGGAGGATCAATAAAATATATTTTTTTAAAAAATTAAAAAAAAAGAATAAAATCTTAACTTTTAGCATAGTCTTTCAGAACAATAGAATCAGCTACCAAATAACTTTTCAAATGCTAATTTTCACCTGTTTTCCTTATAAATTTTGTAGTCAAATAAACAATATCCTTGATCTATTTCTTATTTGTTCATTTGCTTTGCTGACTTCATTCTTTCTTATGTAGTCACCTCTGCCTAACATGGCCTCTATTTCCATTTCTGTGTGTACTCCAGCTCACCTAACTTTTAACACCAAGCTTAGTTAACTTTACTCCAGAGCTCTTGCTTGATCCTCCTAGCTGGAATTAGTTTTTCTTCCTTTGAGTACTTACACTTGTTTGTCTTTCTCTATGGTGTAATTCTTTTACTTTGTATGATATCTATGTGTGTTTTTTAACTCCAATTTAGAACAACAGTTTCTAATCACATTCCTGATTGATCTTTTTATTTTTTCTTCAACACCAACAATAATGCTTTTCATAGTAGATGTTGGAGAGGTATTTTAAATATTTTGTCAATCCTGTCTGGATAGGATGTTAATTACTTTCTCTTAGATTCCATTGATGCTGTTGCTGCAGAGCTCGCAGCTCAACTACAAGACACAAAGATTGAAAGCCGACCAGACACTAAAGCCATTAAGCAGAAAGAGGCGATCCCTAGGAAGAGGACATTTCCTAAGGAAGCCTGCTCAGAAAATAAGGAATCCTTGCAGATAGATATTGAAGGTAATGGGATTGGGATTTATGTGTGTTGGGAGAGGGAGATGCTATGTCTATTTCCTTTCATCTTGATGAGAATATAGCCTCTTAATTTTAAACATCCATTTTTTCTTTCCTTTTTTCTTTTTTTGTAAAATTACTTCAGTGCTACTTTGTCTATGTGGATATACACTGAGTGGCCAGATTATTATGACCACCCCATCAGTACTTCATTGACACTTCCAAAAATACTGAATATTGAAAACTTCCTAAGCAGATACTCTCAAGGTTTTATTATTATTATTTGCATAACGAATTCACTTCATTGTACTGATGGGGTGGTCATAATAATCGGGCTGGTCATAATAATCGGGCCACTGTGTGTGTGTGTGTGTGTGTGTGTCTATCTGTAATATAACTGTTACTTTTGGGAAACGATATTGGCAACTTGGGAACAAGATTATACATAAAATACCTAAGGTTGATAGTATTAACCTGTGAAGTATCATGTGTTAGTACTGACACAGGGAAAAACTTATTCCAGAAGATTGTAACAAAGACAGGAAAACCTCAGTACAAACTTTTTAAAAATTACAATAAAGAGCCAAAAATTACAATAAAGACTTTTGGCCCTCTTTTGAGTCTAACAAAAGAAAGGCATAGAGGACACAGCCATTACTACCTGGCTGTCAAACTTTACCTCTTAGAGGAAGATAGAACAATACCCAGATAAGGAAAGAAAGGAGTCAGTGAGCTATAATTCATATTACATTTCAAAAATAGTACAGGTATAGCTGCTCACATCACAAATGTATAAGATAAATGATTTTCCACAAGGCTGCCAAGACTACATAGTGGTGAAGAAATATTCTCTTCAGCAAATGGTGTTGGAAAGCTGATATCCATATGCAAAAGAACAAATTTTGATACTTACCTTTTACCACTTATAAAAACTAATTCAAAATGAATCAAAGATCTAAACATAAGAGCTAAAATTATAAAACTATTAGCAGAAAGCATAGGGGAAAAGCTCCATGGCCTTGATATGGCAGTGATTTCTTGGATATGACCCCAAAAGCACAGGCAACAAAAGCAAAAAAATATACACACAAGAAGAAAAGTAAGTGCACTAGATGATAAAGACTAAAGTGGACCTCTTTCTTAATGTCCAGTGTTATTTGTCTTAAAATTTGGTGCAATGTGTAAAAAAAAAAAGGCAAAAAAATAAATTATACTTACACCAAATTAAAAATTGCATCAAAGGACACAATAGAGTAAAAAGGCAACCTATGAAATGGGAGGAAATATTTGTAAATCATGGTAAGTGCTTAATATCCAGGTTATATATGGAACTTCTTTAATTCAACAACAACAGAGAAAGCCAGTTTTTAAAAGGGCGCAAAGGATTTAAATAGTTCTCCCAAGAAGACATATGAATGACTAATACATACATGAAGAGATGCTCAATATCACTAATCAGAGAAATACCAATTAAAGTCACAATGAGATACTACTTCACACCCATTACGGTGGCCACTATCAGAACAGGTGATAACTATAAGATTATTTTATAGGCAAGCATGCAGAGAGATCGGAACTGTTGTGCACTATTGGTGGAATATAGAAGGGTGCAGCCACTGTGGGAAATAGTACGGAGGTTCCTCAAAAAATTAAAAATAGAATTGGCATATAATACAGCAATCCCATTTCTGGGTATATGTCTAAAAAAAATCAAAACCGATCTTACAGATATCTGCACACCTATGTTCAGCTCAGTATTATCCACATTAATCAAGATACGAAGACAATCCAAATGTCCATCAACAGGTGAACAGATAAAGTGCTAACATTGTGCAATATATAGATCTTGTAACATAGAAACACATACCTGAAACCTGTTCATGTTGACCAATGCCAGCCCAATAAATTTAATAATAAAAAAATCTCTTGATTTTTTTTAAAAAAGAAAGTGTGTTAAAAACATAGTTAAATTTTATACAGCCTTAAAAAGGAAGGAAATCCTGTCACAAGCTACAGCATAGATGAACCTCAATGAAATTGTGCTAAGTGAAATAAGCCAATCATAAAAGAAAAGAAAATAAACCCATGCTATATAGCAGACATATTGAAAATAAAATAACTCAGAAGGGTTGGAAAATAAAAGGAAAAGTAGAGATGAAAAATATGGAGACATGTTAATATAAGTGAGATTAAATTAAACACCAAAAGTGTTACAAGAATTAAGGAGTGATGTTTTTAATACTGATTTGCAATCCACAATGAGGTCATAATATAAATCTTTAAACAGGAAATAGCATAAAATATATAAAACAAAACTGGGAGCATCATCAGTAAGGAAGTTTATGTTGCCTTACAAAAAAATGAAGTTGTAGAATGAAAATAACTCTTATGATATATTGTTTAGGTAAAAGGTGCTAGGGGGAAAATGCAAAACAGTCCACAAACTGTCCTAAACCCTGGAGGACCTTCAGGAGGAAATGGACAAGACAGAATAGTAGTAAGGAGTTTGAACGTACATACTTATACTAGATTGTTGAAATGAAATTATTTTTATTTTATTTTTTAAAAATATACATATATATTTTTTTATTTCAGAGAGGAAGGTAGAGGGGGAGAGAGAGATAGAAACTTCAATGATGAGAGAGAATTATTAAATCGGCTACCTCCTGCATGCCTCCTACTGGGGATCAAGCCCACAACCCAGACATGTGCCCCAACTGGGAATCGAACCCTGAACTCTTGGTTCAGAGGTTGACACTCAATCACTGAGCCATGCCAGCTGGGCTGAAATTTTTAAAAAGCAAAGCTAAAAAAATCATCTGGGAATAATGCAAATAATGAGGTTGATTTAATAGATATGTGTAAATGTTTGTATGCTTAAAAAAGACACACGGTGGTGTCCTTTAAAGAGTAAAGATTTTTAACTTTGATGAAGCCTGATTTACTTTTTCTCTTGTTGCTTGTACTCTTGGTGTCTTATCTACCAGTTCTACAAATTCAAGGTAATGAAGATTTACTCCTATGTTTTTTCTAATATTTCCTAGTTTTAGCTTTACATTTAGCTCTTTGATCTATTTTTGTTAATTTTTTTGTCTATGTGGTGTGAGGTAAGAGTACAACTTCATTATTTTCCATGTGGATATCCAGTTATCCCAGCACCATTTGTTTTTGTTGTTGTTGTTTTTGTTTTTGTTTCCAGCACCATTTGTTAAAAAGGACTGTTCCTTTCTCATTGAATGGGCTTGGCACCCTTATTGAAAATCAGTTGACCATAGATGTATGGGTTTGTTTATGGACTCTCAATTCTATTCTGTTGCTCCACATGTCTATCCTTGCTGACTGTTGCTTTGTAGTAGTAAGTTTTGAAATTGAAAGTGTGAATCCTTCAACTTTGTTTCTTTTATGGTGCTATTCTGGATCTCTTACACTTGCACATGAATTTTGGAATCAGCTTGGCAATTACTACAAAGAAACCAGCTAGGTTCTGATAGGGATTGTGTTGAATCTATGATCAGTGTGGGGATATTGCCTTCTTAGCAATATTATCTTCTAGTCCATGAACATGGGATGTTTTCTATTCAGTTAGATCTTTAATTTCTTTCCATGGTGTTGTGTAGTTTTCAGAGTAGAAGTTTTACACTTCTTTTGTTATATTTATTTCTAAATATTTTATGTTTTATGCTATTGTGAATTAAATGGTGTTTTTTATTTTGTTTTTAGTTTAACTGCAGTGTATGATGATACAGTTGATTTTTAAAATATTTTTTTATCCTGCAATCATGCTGAACTCATTTATTAGTTCTAATAGGTTGTTTTTTTTAAATATATTTTTATTAATTTTAGAGAGGAAGGAAGAGGGAGAGAGAGTTAGAAACATCAAGGATGAGAGAGAATTACTGATTGGCTGCCTCCTGCACACCCCCCACTGGGGATCGTGCCCGCAACCCGGGCATGTGCCCTTGACCGGAATCGAACCTGGGACCCTTCAGTCTGCAGGCCAACGCTCTATCCATCGAGCCAAACCGGCTAGGGCTCTAATAGGTTTTTAATGTATTCTTAGAATTTTCTAGATACGAGATCTTGATATCTGTGACTATAGTTTTACTTCTTTCTTTGTAATCCACATGCCTTCCCCCCCACCTCCCTAATTGCTATGGCTAACACCTCAAGTATAATGTTAAATAGAAGTGGCAAAAGCAGACATCTTTATATATTCCTGTCTAGGAGGCAGACATTCTATCTTTCATAAGTATGATTTTAGCTGTGTGTTTTTCATGGAAGCCCTTTATCAGATTGAGGAAGTTCCCTCTATTCCTAGTTTGTTGAGTGTTCTTATCAAGGAAGGGGTTAGATTTTGTCAAATGCTTTTTCTGTGTCTCAGATTATCAAATGAGTGGGGTTTTTTTTAATCTTTAAATTGAATGTATTGGGGTGACTTTGGTTAATAAAATTATATAGGTTTCAGAAGTACAATTCTATAATACATCATGTGTATTTCGTATTGTGTTAAGCCAAACTTCCATTCATGGGGTAAATCCCACTTGGTCATGCTGTATAATTCTTTTTATATGTTGCTAGATTTCATTTGCTAATATTTTGATGAGGATTTTTTTTTTGTTTATGTTTGTAAGAGCTGTTGACTTGTAGTTTTCTGGTGATGTCTTTGTTGGGTTTTATTATCAGGGTACCACTGGCCTCATAAAATGAATTTGAAAAATCAATAATTCTTTAAATGTTTAATAAAATTCAGGGGTGAAACCATCTGCGCCTGGACTTTTCTTTGTAGGTAATTTTTTATTATTACTAATTCAAATTCTTCACTTGCTTTAGGTCTTTTCAGATTGTGTATTACTTCTTGAGTCAGTTTCAATAGTTTGTGGCTTCCTAGGAATTGGATATGTTCATTATATCTAAATTATCTAATTTAGTTCATAGTATTCCTTTATAATTCTTTTTAGTTCAGTAAATAAATAAGATTTATTTATTGGTAATAATGGTCCCTCTTTCATTTTGGATATAAGTCTTATTTTTTTCTTGGTCAGTCTAACTAAAAGTTTGTTGATTTTTTTTTTAAATCTTTTCAGAGAACCAGCCTTTGTTTTCTATTATTTTCTTCTTTTTATAATTCTCTATTTCATGAATTCTCACCTTAATTTTTATGATTGCCTTCCTTCTGTTTGCTTTAGTTTTAGTTTAATCTTTTCCCAATGTCTTAAGATAAAGTTTAGGCTTCTTTACTTGATCTTTCTTCTTTCTTGATACAGGCATATTCTATTATAAATTTCCCTTTTGGCTTTAGGTGCATCTCATAAGTTTATTACCATTTATTACAAAGTATTTTCTGGTTCTCTTTTGATTTCTTCTTTAACTCATAGGTTACTTAGGAATATTTTATTTAATTTTCACATATACGAGTTTTCCAAATTTTATTCTGCTATTGATTTCTAATTGCATTCTGGTGCGGTTGGGGAGCAGATTTTGTTATTATTTCTATCCTTTTAAGTTTATTCTCTTGCCTGATTGCTCTGAATAGGACTTCCAGAACTGTGTCGTATAAGAGTGGGCATCCTTTTCTTGTTCCTGATTTTAGAGGAAAGCTTTCCGTTTTTCACCATTGAGTATGATATTGGCTGAGGGTTTGTGATATATGGTATTTATTATGTTAAGGTACTTTTCCTTCTATACTCATTTTATTGAGGGTTTGATCATAAATGGATATTTTGTCTTATCAAATAGTTCATAGGTCAACAATCAACCACCAAGCCATACTGTCTGGGTTATTGTTATTTTTTTGAAGTTGTTACATTTTTTTTATTGTGGTGAAATATACATAACAAAATTTACTGGTTTGACCATTTTGTAGTATACAGTTCAGTGACATTAAGTACATTCGCATAGTTGTACAACCATCACCTCCATCCATCTCCAGAATTACTTCATCTTCTCAAACTGAAACTCTATTCCCATCAAACACTAACTTCCTCTACCCCCTTCCTCCTGGCCCCTAACATCACCATTCTAGTCTCTGTTCCAGTGAATTTGCCTCTCCTATCTACTTCATATAAGTGGAATCATACAATATTATACTTTTGTGTCTGGCTTATTTCTCTCAGCACAATGTCTTCAAGGTTCATCTACATTGAGCATGTATTGTGAAGATTTCCCTTTTTTTAATATATATTTTTTATTATTGATAGTATTACAGATATCTCCCATTTTTCTCTCCTTCCTGGCTATTTTTTTTAAGTTAATTTTAGAGAGAGGAAGGGGAGAGAGAGAAACATTGATTTTTGTCTCACTTATTTTTTTGTTGTTCTTTTAAAAATTTTTTTATTGACTTCAGAGAGGAAGGGAGAGGGAGAAAGAGAAAGAGATAGAAACATCATTGATGAGAGAGAATCATTGATCAGCTGCCTCCTGCATGCCCCCCACTGGGGATAGAGCCCACAACCCGGGCATGTGCCCTTGACCAGAATCGAACCTGGGACCCTTCAGTTTGCAGGTCGACACTCTGTCCACTGAGCCAAACCAGCTACGACTGTTGTCTCACTTATTTATGCACTCATTGGTTGATTCTTATAAGTGCCCTGAACAGGGATCAAACCCACAACCTTGGTATATTGGGATCCTTGGTATATTGGGATGATGTTCTAACCAATTTAGCTACCTACCCAGGGCAGATTGTACTTTAGACATAAAAGCAGATTTCATGTGTCTTACTATGTTCTGGGGAAATTGCCTTAGGGATTATAAGAGTATTTAATAAAAACCTTAGTTGTCAGTAATCTGTGGTGTAAGTGAAAAGGATCCTGTAGTTACAAGTGTTACTTTGTTGCATGCATATATATTTCTTTGTTTCTACCTATAACTTGAAACACCAAAATATATATTGATCCTATATTACTATTTCCATCTGGGGGGTTATGATTGTTAGATATTATTACATCTAAAAATGCCCATTTTTACATAGAATGCCTGTCAAAAAGTGAATTTGGAGGATGGTAAATTTTGTATTAGGTATATTTTACCACAGTAAAAAAACATTGGAGGAAGAAATGTGAAGATGGCCCACAGAAAGAAATTTTAAGAGGCTCTAGAACATGTAAAGAGTTTTTCTTTTTTATCCCACGCATTTAATTTCTGATAATGAATTCTCAGGTTTCTTAGCTGAAAGAGGGGTTAGTAAGGCATATCTCTCAGATTTCTCAACATGATTGAATAAAAAGGGGAAAAACATAGAGAGCACTGATCATAATACCCCACACATAGCAAGCAGTTAGTACAAAGCAGCTGCTGTTACAGTCCCGAGGACTAAAGCTCCTTTCTCAAGCTCACCCAGCCAGTTTGTGACAGAGTTCTACCCAGAATCCAGGTCTTCTGACCCTGCGTCTCTTAAATGTTTACCATGCCACTCGAGCCACTTAGGCACAAGGCATAAATCCTTTGTTCAGGCAGTGAATTTTCTGAAACTTTATATAAACTGTTCTTTCTTTTTCTTCTGTTTCTAAAGAATTAAGTTTGAATACTATTTCTAAAGGAAATGAAAATATTTTGAAAGTTCTTCAAAATCTTTTTTTTCTCCTTTTCAGAGTCCAGTTCGGAATTTGAAAATACTACCCATTCTGTGTTCAGGACAGCCAAGTTTTACTTTCATCATCCAGTGCACCTACCAAGTGATCGAGATTTTTGCCATGAATCCTTAGGGAGAAGTGTTTTCATGGGGCATCCTTGGAAAGATTTCTTCCAGCATCATCCAGACAAAGACCATATTAGTCTTCCTTCCTCTTATCAAACTGAGGAAAAGACAGAATGTACTAGAATAGAGAGCCTCCATATCAATGTAAACTTGGGAAACAAAGAAATGATACAGTCTACTAAAAGTCAGGCTGGAGATTATACAAAATGTGACAAACAGATTAATGATCAAAAAAAGAATCGTAAGGTCACCCCAGAGCCCACAACTCAGCACATTACAAGTTTGAATGAACTCTGGAACAAGTATCAGGAGCGACAGAAGCAACAAAAATCTCACGAGTTCAGGGGTGGAAAAGAACTATCCTTGGTGGAGCGACTTGATCGTTTGGCTAAACTTCTTCAGAATCCTATCACACATTCTCTTTGGCCCTCAGAAAGTACACAGGATGATAGCAGAGGGCAGCGAGATACTAAGGAATGGAATGGTAGACAGCAACAGAGAAACAAGCTTCAGAAAAAGAAGCGGTATAAAAGTGTGGGGAAATGCCATAAAAACATAGATCTTAAAAACAAGGTGCTTTCTACTCATCAAGCTGGAAGGTCCAATCAGATTAAAATTGAACAGCTTAAATTTGATAAATATATCCTGAGAAAACAGCCAAATTTTTGTTATATAAACAATACTTCTTCAGATTCTAGACCCTCAGAGGAGAGTGAGCTGCTCACAGATCCTGCCATTTCCACCACAACTTCTCCTGTGGAATCAGATATATTGACCCAAACAGATAAAGAAGTGACTTTGCATGAAAGGAGCAGCTCTCTTTCCACCATTGACACTGCCCGATTGATCCAGGCTTTTGGCCATGAAAGAGTTTGTCTGTCACCCAGGAGAGTTAAATTATACAGCAGTATCACTGACCATCAGAGGAGATACACTGAGAAGCAGAGCAAGAACAAGAAGAAAGCATTGAGTTGTCCCCAAATGACTTCTGAACACACCAGAAAGAAACACATCCAGGTACATGGCTACAAATTGCATCTGGCAATGTGACTGCCTTTTTCATGGACTTTTAATTAAGCTTTGCACACAGGTGGAAAAAGCCATTTGCCCTTTCCTCACTAATATTCCTTACCAACTGGAAAAGAGTGAGAAAGTGTAGTACAGTGCTATTGTGAGTTGTCATTCTTTTCATCAACACTCATTTACAAATTATCCTTTGGATGAAGGGCTTTGCTGCTAACTGCTTCAGAATCTACAAAGTATATCCCTGGCACCGGTGAGCTTTTAGTTTAGAATGACCTCCATTCTGAACAATATTGCCGAGGTTTTGTAAATTTGTTTTTTGTTGATTCATTTCTCCCTGTCTTTCAAGACATTTTGAGTTGCTTTTAAACACACACACACACACACAATAATATGATTTTTTAAAAGGAAAAAAGAATTCGAATGAAAAAAATTATGGAAGCCAGAGAGAGGTGAGCTACAACATGACTTTTAAGAATAAATAAATGAAGATTTGTGAATTATGGGAAGACAAGTTGATGCTAGAGAGAGATAAAATGTACCTTATAGATATGGTTGTGAGTCACAAATTTTGCTTTGTTTTCTACCAGTTAGTATTGCTAGAATTTTGTGATCAATCACAAGTCTATAATATAAAAACAAACCGAATTCTCAAAAGCATTACATATTTCTGGTACTAAAACCTAGAAGAAATTTACTCATCTGTCCTCATAAAAAAGGAACCACAGTGTAATAGAGTCCTCAGCAGCATCCTTACAGTAGGTTCAGTAATAATGCCTATAAGGCTAATATGACTTTACTATAGTGTTCAGCAAAGACATCTCACAAAGGGTCAACATAATTTAACCCAAGAATAAAATTTAGTGTGCCCAAAGAATGCTTTATAAAGAGTGATGCTTGTTCTTTGGAGTATAGAAAGAAAAATATTAGGTTTATTTTTTCTCAAACTTTTAAAACTTACATTTTATATATGTTTATATTATACTAGAGGGCCCAGTGCATGAATTCATGCACAGGTGGGGTCCCTGGCCTGCCGGCGATCGGGGCCGGCTGCCTGGTGGGGAGGGACCACGGGAAGTTGGCCAGCCATGGGAGGTTGGCTATGGAAGCGCACTGACCATCAGGGAGCAACTCCTGCGTTGAGTGTCTGCCCCCGGGTGGTCATTCGGTCACTTAGGCTTTTATATACATAGATGAGTACAGTAATAACATAATTTATAAATACAGGGTGAGGCAAAAGTAGGTTTACAGTTGTATGTGAAAGTTACTCCTGTATTATTATTCTAATTATTGCATTTTCTGTATAAACAACTGTAAATTTACTTTTGCCCCACACTGCAAATATCTACTTTGGTAATTTATGCTCAAAAATATTGCCTGGCCAGTTAGTTGAGTGTCATTCCATACACCAAAAAGGTTTCGGGTTCAATTCCCCATCAGGGCAGATACCTAGGTTGCTAATTAGTTCCCCAGTTAGGGCACATAAGGGAGGCAACCTATTGATTGGTGTTCCTCTTGTACATCAATGTTTCTCTCTAACTCAGTGGTTCTCAACCTTCCTAATGGCGCGACCCTTTAATACAGTTCCTCATGTTGTGGTGACCCCCAACCATAAAATTATTTTCATTGCTACTTCATAACTGTAATTTTGCTACTGTTATGAATTGTAATGTAAATATCTGATATCAGAATGTATTTTCATTGTTACAAATTGAACATAATTAAAGCATAGTGATTAATCACAAAAACAATATGTAATTATATATACGTTTTCCGATGGTCTTAGGCGACCCCTGTGAAAGGGTCATTCGACCCTCAAAGGGGTCGTGACCCACAGGTTGAGAACCGCTGCTCTAACTGCTTCAGAATCTGCAAAGTATATCCCTGCCATTGGGGAGCTTTTAGTTTAGAATGACCTCCATTCTAACCAATATTGCCTGGGGTTTTTTGTTTCGTTTTTTTGTTGATTCATTTCTCTCTGTCTTTCAAGACATTTTGAGTTGCTTTTAAACACACACACACAAAATTAAAAAAAATTATTTTTTTAAAGGAAATATAGAGTGAAAGAAAATTATGGAAGCCAGAGAGAAGTGAGCTACAACATGACTTTTTAAAATAAATGAAGAAATGTGAAGACAAGTTGATGCTCTCTCTCTCAAATCAATTTTTAAAAATACCTTTGGGTAACCCTAACTGGTTTGGCTCAGTGGATGGAGCGTCAGCCTGCGGACTCAAGGGTCCCAGGTTTGATTCCAGTCAAGGGCATATACCTTGGTTGCGGGCACATCCCCACTAGGGATGGTGCAGGAGGCAGCTGATCGATGTTTCTCTCTCATCGATGTTTCTAACTCTCTATCCCTCTCCCTTCCCCTCTGTAAAAAATCAATAAAATATATTTTAATAAATAAGTAAATAAAAATACCCTTGAGTAAAGATTAAAATACATGTATTTTTTTTCCTGTAGGACTGCATAATTAAATAATTTAGAGACTGCTAGTCTAGACAAAAGAAGGCACAAGACGTTCAGATAGTTTATCATAAATATTATAATTGAGAGTGTATGACTTGATGAGTTTTGACAAATGATAGTGATTACATATATAAATAGTACAATATCACTTTAAGTAAAAAAAGAATTGGAAATGGCACAGATTAAGGCTTTTTGTTCCGTAGAAGAGATAAGGGAAAAGGCTCTAAGGAGGGATTTTTGTGTGAGGTAAAATAGATACACATAACATAAAATTTATCATTTTGCCCTAGCTGGTTTGGCTAAGTGGATAGAGCATTGGCCTGTGGAATGGAGTCCCGAGTTTGATTCTGGTCAACAAGCACATGTCTGATTTCGGGCTCAATCCCCAGTAGGGGGCGTGCAGGAGGCAGTTGATCAATGATTCTTCCCTCTCATCATTGATGTTTCTGTCTCTCTTCCTTTCCCTTCCTCTCTGAAGTCAATAAAAATATATTTTAAAAAATAAAGTTTATCATTTTAATGATTTTTAAAGTGCGCAGTTTAGTGGCACTGAGTACATTCACAATGATTTTTTGAGAGTTTTTAAAAATATTTTTATTGATTTCAGAGAGGAAAGGAGAGGGAGGGAGAGAGAGAGAAACATCCATCGGCTGCCTCCTGCACGTCCCCCAGGGATAGAGCCCGCAACCCAGGCATGTGCCCTTGACCGGAATCGAACCCGGGACCCCTCAGTCCACAGGCCAACACTCCATCCACTGAGCCAAACCAGCTAGGGTCATTCACAATGTTTTATAATCATCACCACTATCTAGTTCAACAACTTTTCATCACCCAGGGGAAATCTCACACCCATTAAGCAAACTCTATTCTCTCTTCCCAACAGCCTCTCAGAACCACTTAACTTTCTTATTTCTATGAACTTGCCTGTTCCGGTTATTTCATATAAATGGAATCATACAATATATGACCTTTGGGTCAGGCTCCTTTAGCTTAATGTTTTGGGGGTTCCTCCATGTTCTAGCATGAATCAGTGCTTCATTGCATGTATATACCACATTTTTTTAAAAATATATTGATTTTTTACAGAGAGGAAGGGAGAGAGATAGAGAGTTAGAAACATCGATCAGCTGCCTCCCACACATCTCCCACTGGGGATGTGCCCGCAACCCAGGTACATGCCCTTGACCGGAATCGAACCCAGGACCCCCCAGTCTGCAGGCCGACGCTCTATCCACTGAGCCAAACCGGTTTCGGCTATATACCACATTTTATCCATTCATCCACTCATAGACATTTGAGTGTGTGTCCACCTTTTAGCTATTGTGAATACAGCTGATATGAACATTTTTGTACAAGTTTTCTTTTTCTGTTTTTAAAAATATTTTTTATTGATTTCAGAAAGGGAGAGGGAGCGAAAGATAGAAACATCAATGATAAGACAAAATCACTGATTGTCTGCTTCCTGCACACCCCCTACTGGAAGTCGATCCCGCAACCCAGACATGTGCCCTGACCAGGAATCGAACCGTGACTTCTTGGTTCATAGGTAGATGCTCAATCACTAAGCCATGCCAGCCAGGCTACAGGTTTTTATTTGAATAGCTATAAACATTTCTTTTGAGAATATACCTAGGAGTGGAAATACTGAGCCATGTGGTAATTCTATGTTTAGCTTATTGAGGAATTGTCAAACTGTTTTTCCACAGTGGCTACATTTATTTTACATTCCATTAGCAATGTCTGAGGGTTACAATGTCCCTAGGTCCACCAACTATCTTTATTTACCTTTTTTTGGGGGGGTGGGGGCATCCTAGTATAAATGAGATGGTATTTTATACTTAATTGTCATTTTGATGGTGGTTATGATCTGCCTTCCCTGTCCTGCATGACTAATGACGTCTAAGCATCTTTTCATGTGCTTGTTGGTCATTTGTATCTTCTTTGGGGAAATGTCTATTCAAGTCTTTACCTACTTTTTAATTGCTGTTTGCTTTTTGTTTTTGAGTTGTAAGATTTATTTATATATTCTGGATTGATTACTATTATCAGATATATAATTTGCAAATATTTGTTCCCATTCTCTGGGTGTCTTTTCACTTGTTACTGTCCAAGGCAAAACAGTTTACTTTAAAAAAATTTATATATATATATATTTTTATTCAGAGAGGAAGGAAGAGGAAGAGAGAGCTAGAAACATCAGTGATGAGAGAGAATCATTCATTGGCTGCCTCCTGCATGCCTCTACTAGGGATGAAGCCCGCAACCTGGCATGTGCCCTGACCAGGAATCAAACCGTGAACTCCTGCTTTATTGGTCAATGCCCAAGCACTGAGCCATGTTGGCTAGGCCACAACAGTTTACAGTTTGATGAAGAGCCCAGTATCCCTATCTTTTGTTGCTTGTGCTTTTGGTGTCATATCTAAGAAACCATTGCTAAGTCCAAAGTCATAAAGATTTTTCCTTTTATTTTAAATTTTTTATACTTTTAGCTCTTTCATTTGCATTTTTGACATATTGAGTTAAT